CAGTTCACTGTCCCTTAGACCCATTGGAGGGCTGGACTATATTTTAAAAAAAAATATGAACAAATTCCTATGCACACTGCACATATCTTATTTTGAAGTAAAAAAACAAACGGGGCAAAAACACCCAGTGGGCCGGCTAAATGTCCTCGGTGGGTCCCATGTGGCCCGCGGGCCATAGTTTGAGGACCCCTGCTCTAGGCGGTAGTGGGCTTTGGGCTAAAGCCTCTGACACAGGTTTAGGTCCTTATCTACCCTCACCCTAGCTACACTGGCCTTTTTTTCCTGATCTCTTACCCAGCCATGTTCTTTCCCAACAAAAGACCAGAGCATAAAATGTTTCTCTACCTGGAACCTTCTTCCTCTCTCATTGCCTGGCTAATTTCTATTCATCCTTCCTAATTCAAGTGAAATATTTCTTTAGTGAAGCCTCCCTAACCCACTGAATTAGTTCCCCCCAAACATCTCTGATGGACGTTGTAATCCCTCACTAGATGTACTCATTCACCACTGTAGCCCAACCCCTCGCCCTGTGCTTGGCTCAGGATAACCACACTCAGTAAGTACTCCTCAAACATGTATACTACTTTAACAAACTTTCATTCAACAATGCCAAGAGGTTCTACTCTAATTTATGTCCCCCATCTTTCTGCTCCCAAAAGATTTACAGCCTTGGAAACCCTATGGGGTTGCTCTGAGTCGGAATTAACTCAATGACATGGGGTTTTGGGAACGAAAGATCACAACGCCTAAGGTTCCTGCCAAGAAACTGTTTACCTAAAACTGATTACCATATGTAACTGCCAATTTTCAGAAACCAGAGACAGAAATATACTGGTCCGTATAAAGAGAATAAATTTAGTAAAATCCAGATTGTAGGAAACTCTACTGAATTGCTCAACAGACAAATTATGAAGGAAAAAAAAGGGATGGAAAGAGAATCTATAAATTAAAAGATACTCAAAGGACAAACTGTAACTTCAAAAAATGGGTAAGATACACTAAGCATCTAGAACTACACAGAAAGTCAATGATGTGGTTAATATAAAGGTCATGCATGTGAGAGGAGAAAGGGTTTCATGATTGGGACGAACACATTGAAGAGCTTCTGGGGTGGGGAGCAAAGTTGTACTTAGTAACTTGCGCAGCAGTTTCAAGTCAGTTCGCCTGTTTTCATTCAGTCAGCGATACCCTTGTGAAGTGAAGAAGACCTGGTGGCACGATGGTTAGGCATGAAGTGCTAACCACAGGGCCATCAGTTCAAACCCACCAGCTGCTCCTCAGGAAAAAAGATGAGGCTGGCTGTCCCCATAAAGACTGACAGTCCCAGAAATCCTACATAGGGTAGCCATGAGCCAGAATGGAGTAGATGGCAATGGGTCTTGTTATGTGTGATCTCTGTATATGTTTACTTTTATGATCAGAAGGGTTCAAACACACAAAGGGGGATCTCACAAAGTTGAAAGATTAAGTCTTTTTGGCATTAGTTATGTAGAATAGTTTTTGTAAAAACCAAATATTTTAAAACTCTGGAAGCCATATGGCATCCGACTGTAATTTGAAGCAGCCTGGAGAACGTGAAAGGGGCGCAGCACATTGCTCTTTCAACTACTGCTATAAGACTGCTGTTAGCCGCTGCTGAGTCCGGCCCGATTTATAGCAACTCAATACATAACAGATGGGACTGTAATGACCCCGGGTTTTCACTGGCCGAGAGTTTAGAAGTAGATTGTCAGGTTTTTCTTCCTAATCTGTCCGACTCGTTCAAGTAGGTTCACTTAAACCTGTTCAACATCATAGCAACACACAAGCCTTCTCTGAACAGAAATCTAGAAAATGTAAACACTTAACAAGAGAAGGAAGAAGAATGGGCAGAGGAATGAACAGTTCACCAAAGATGATCAAGCGGCCAACAAATACATGAAAAAAATGCCCACGATCATTAACCATCTGAGACATGCAAATCAAAACCCACGATGAGATACCCCCTCACCCCAGCCTTGATAGCTAAGATAAAGAGAAAAGAACCAGTGCTGGAAAGAGTCCCCATGGGGCTGGACTGCAGCCCTCATGCGCTGTGAAACAGGACAGCCACTGCGGAAAGCAGTAAAGCGCGTCCTCAAATAACTAGGAATAAAAACACCATCTGAGGCAGTAATTGCTCTACTTGCTATGTACCCTACAGAAATAAAGGACAGAGCAAAGGTTGACATATGCACACGCATATTTACGGCAGCACTATTCACAATAGCAAGAAGATAGAAACAACCTAAATGCCCATCAGTGGAAGAATGGAAAAATGAACTTTGGTATATTCACGCAAAGGAATAAAGTGCATCCTTAAAGAGTAACAACGAAACTCAAACACCTCATGACACGATGGTTTTGAAGGGCATTACGCTCAATGAAATCACACAAACGCAAATGGACAAATACTGTATGAGACCAATGTCATTTTTCAAAATCAAGATAAAGATGTTCGTATCAAAGAAGCACACTTTGATGGTTACTAGGGGCAGAAGAGCAAGGGAAGGAAGGGGAAGTAATAGGCTAGATGACAGACCGATGATAACTTGGGTGGCATCCTACAAGAAGAAGATGAGGGGAAAGGTGGAGGAGGAGGGGAATAGGGCAAACCATTGGGAAGTTTAATAAGTTATCTAAGTTCTTGAATGCAAAAATGATGATCTGATATGTAAACCCCCACCTAATTCACAATAGAAAGTTAAAAAAAAAAGCATAAACAAATCTCTATGCATTATGAAATTATGTCCATGACATACCTTAGTGTATCTAGTATGAGCTCATTTATGTTAAAATATACACACATATGTGTATATGTGCATACACATGTCTGGGGAAATATATATATACCAACCTGTTCATAGTGATCCTCTCTGGGGAATGTGATGGGGAGAGGAAAAGTCTCTATATTCTTCTGTCTGGTTTGAACTTTTTACAACAAGCCTGCATTAAAACAAACAAACAAAACCCCACTGCCATCGAGGAGATTCTAACTCAGAGCAGTCCTTTATTGGGTTTCTGAGACCAGACCTTTACCAGAGCAGGCAGCCTCATCTTTCTCCGGAGTTGCTGTCGGACAGCTTGAGCCACCCACACTGTGGTCAGCAGTCCGGCCTGACCCAGCAGTGATTGCTACTGTGATAGTAAATAATCAAAAGAACTAAAAAAAAAAGCCAAAAGCCAATAAAAGAGCCAGTTCTGATATTTCTCTTTTGAAATAACAGGAACATATCAATGAACTAATAGAAAAACCAACACATGTAATCCTGATCTCTTTCTTTCCACCTGTGGGTCGGAAGTAATGCTTTTTCCCAATCGGTTATTTTATCTATGTAATTCATACATTATTTTTGTTTATATAAAAGGATGTTTATATTATACTACTTTCTTCTAACCTGCATTTCTCACTTGACAATATATTAGTAGTATGAACCTCTTTCTATGTTAATGAAAGTGTATCGAGCATATAATTTTAAGTGAAGTTTTAAATTTACAAATAATCTAAGAATTGAGAAGTTTATCAGATAAAACCTAACCTTTCTTTAGCTTTTTTTTTTAAACCAATGTTGGCTTATCAGGAAAGATACCTTGCCAACCTTCCTGTTAACAGTCAAGTATTTAAACCTCTGTTACCAGCAGGGACCATAAAATCTAATACCTATTAATATAAAGCATGTACTGAATACAGTATGTGTCAGAAAAAAAAAGACTTTCTCAAACTTGTCAAAATACTGTGCTTCAGTCTCACTCATGTATTATCTCCATATAGCCCCAAATTCTATAGCTAGAAGTTCACCTCTTCTCTTATAGCAATAACTACATTCCAATTTTTTTCCTTCCTTTCTTTTTTCACACTTTGATTCTTCACTTAAGGGTTATTTGTGACCATTTAATCAGGCAGCTTCAAAAATTTACCATCTCTGCAGTACAAATTTCCTCAGGGATTTTAAAATTCAATCAGGGTATCCAAGTTTCTTTGAAGTAATTTGTTAGAAATAGTATGCTTAAATGGCTAAAAACATCTAAACATTATCATCAGCATCATCATAAGACCCATCATTTTCCCAAGACTTACTATGTGACTTGCACTTTACATATATAATTTTATTACTCTTTAGAAAAATCCTGCCAAGTAAGAATGATAGCTATTCTACAAATAAGGAAATAGAAACTCAAAGACAATGCATCATACCATGTTCTGGATCATGAAGCAAGAAAGCCGGGATTTTAGTGTCTGAAAGTCTTAAGCAAAGACTTTCCACTACACAGTATCCTGTTTCATGAACACATTCCATATATCATTAATGGACTCTTATGCAACTAAGACGCTTATTAGTCTGACAAAATAAGAAATTTTTAAAGTCTAACCTTCAAATGTCCTTCTCCTGTGAGGAATTCTGAGTAGCCAGCATCAGTGGCCAACAAACCTACAAACTGCATGCTGGGCCGTTGTTGAATAAAGGCTTCCACAGCTTTATCTGTCACGTGTTTTCTCCCAGAAACATCCAGGGAGACGAGGTTGGGCAGGATGTCCTTTTGTTCCAATAAGCGAAGAGCTATGTCTGATGTAAACTGTTTATCATCTGAAATATCAAGATGATTCAAATGCTTTAGCTCCTGAACCACATCTAGTATCTGGGTCGTGGTCATTTTCAAACATTTCAAGTGGTGCATGGTTAGAGACTTGAGGCGGTCTTTGCAAGCCAAAAGAGCAGTGATATCTGTGATGGACGTGTTGGAAATGTCCAGGCTCTCCAATCTTGGCAAGGAAGCAACTTCAGCCAGGTCTTCATTGTAAAAGAGAACGTTGGTGATGCTCAAAGCTCGAAGGCCAGAAAGACGGCTGAAGCACCGTTCATAAGGATCTTCGAGAGAGAGAGTCAATGAGTTCAGCACTAGGCACTGGAGATTTTGCTGGATCCATTTGTTACTGCCAAGCCCGCTGATGATGTCTGTAATCGTGATGTCAGCATTCACCCCTGTGGCATCAAGTTCCACTAACTTGTGGTGGCAAAAGGCTTTCCGGAAAGCAACAGCAGAGATCTTTGCTTTGCGAATGCAAGCTCGCTTTAAGCGCATCTGGTTGCCCCGGAAAATACCCACGGTTCCATCATTCAGTAGACCTGGTGAGAAACAAGCAGCATTTTAACTTTAGCAAAATGTTAAGGAATATCTAAAATGTCCATCATAGTTTACATTTACAAAGCAACAGCCATGCAGCAGTCTCTTATTTAATATACACGGTAACTCCATGAGGTGTGGATGTTATCTACAATATACAGATGAGTAAACTGGGGCTCGGAAGAGTTTCCAAGATCACAAAGCAGGTGGTAGAATCGGGAAGGTGAGAGATACTCCTCTTATTCACTGATCTATGGAAAGCTACATTTCCAGCAGCATCCTCAGAACAAGATGAGGTCATGCAACTATTTCTGGACAATAATATGTACACAGAAATACCTAATAGGCAGCACATCGATTTCCAGCTATCACAAGGAGCCCTTCTGGTGTCGAGGGCTACAAACTGAGTTGCTAATCACAAGGCCAGTGGTTCCAACAGTGATCAGAGAGGCTGTCTACTCCTGTAAATTTTTAAGGTATCAGAAACCCAAAAGGGTAGATTCTCCTCTATCCTACAGGGTCTCAATGAGTCAGAATCAACTCAACGGCAGTGAATTTGGTTTGGTTTTCTTGCTATGGTAATAAAAAGACTTCAAGTTCTGGGAAGTTCTGTTACATGAGGGTGGGGCCTCCTTCAACCTGGATTCTAGGGTAACCAGGGAGCAGAACTCAACCCAAACCTCTCCCTTAACCTCTGCCATGGATTTAATGAGTGACATATAAACCTTTATGTCAAGCTATGAGATTTTAAGATCTGGTGGGGGGTAGGGGTCGGGGGTGTTAATTATGTTTGTTAACTTCAGAAAAACAATCATAAAGTATAACTCATTATATGGTCATCTGCTTCTGACTTACCGTTTCCCATAGACTCTAAGTTCCATGAGCACAAGATCCATGCGGTGTCTAACAATCCGATTGTACACCCAGCACCTAAGCTAGTGTGCTGATGTGCAACACATGTTCTATGTCACAGCACTTTTTTGTCCCTAGAATGTTTTGCTGAGATCTTATTGGGCTTCTTTTCCCACAGGAACTCCTTTCACACACACATTGTAAGGACCCAAAAATGAAAATAAACCTGGGTTCCTTGTTTATGCCACAAAATAAATGTATGTTTATCTACTTATTTACAGCTGAAATTTCTGTTTCTTGGGTTAATTCTTATTGCTAATTTTAATCTTATATGCAGATTATCACAATGCTTTATAAAATCTGCTGTCAAATTTTGGTACCGTCCACAAAGATTTATTTAGTAAATTATGTTACTCCTGGCCTCAGAGTCAGTCTACATTAAGTGAATTTTCCTAATAACTAAGTTTAAGTGCCTACATTTGAGGGTAATGAAATTAAAATAGCAAGTGATTTAAAAAAAAATTTTTTAAGCACGACCTAGAGATTGGTCGCGGCTCTAACTTTATTTACTATTTAACACTAGATGAGTTACTCTGGAGTTCTCATTTGGGTGTACGGAAATCCCCATCGATAAAATGTGAATAATAATATGTGCCTCACAGAAATTGCTGTGAAGATCGTGGCAAAGTCATCATTAGGAATGATTGCTATTTTACAAAAAAGAAATGGAAACTCAAAGAAGATACACCATAGCATGTTCCAGAGATCATGAACAAGAAAGGTGGTATTTGACTCAGTAAATAGAAAGCATTACACAAATGTCATTAACTATATTTAAAGAAACTATAGATTATGTTACATTCCCTCCTTCCCTTATAAAAACATACTGAATAATCATTTGGCTTTTTTCTATAAGGAACAATTAATGTACTTGTTACAATACATTCAAGCTAAATCTTCCTTTATTGTCATTCAATCCACTTTTGGTGTGGGCACCCTGTGGCTTTCAGATTTGCAGTTCTTAAACTGCTACAGACAGAAAATCAAGATAATTAGGACCTGTATCTATTAAGCATTCATGTGAGCTAAGTGATAACTCACAGCTTCTTTCAAAGGGTGAATTACAAAAATATAAGTGGGTTTTGCCCCAAAGCATTTTTTATTTCTTTGTGGTTACAGCTAAGGACAGCTGAGGGTCTGGAGATGGGACTTCAGGTAAACAAGCCACTAGCCTGAGAACATACACTCTCCAACACTTAGTGTATTTGGCTGTTCAAGGACCAAATCCACCTATTTTAAAAGTTATTACTCTTTCCAGTTTAAACTTAAACTAGAGGGCTGAATGTATCCAGTTCTATCAACTCAGATTAGATAAGCAGTCCGACACAGGAACCTTATCATCAGATAGCAGCATTCTGATTTATGCCCACATTTCCTAGCACTCAGTCACAGATGGAATGACCAAAGATGATGACTAGAGAATCAATATCCTATTAAGTAAAACTCTCTAGCATCAGGTTTTAAAAAATACAGACTGCTGCCAATATCCTTAAACTTCTGAGTTGGGTAAAGAAATAAACATTGAAAATGTGTATGTAGGCAATTGGACATCCCCTTGCAGAAGGGCTGCGGAGAGGAGACGAGCCAGTCAGGGTACAGTGTACGATGAAGCATACAATTTTCCTCTAGTTCTTGAATGCTTCTTTCCCGCCACTACCATGATCCCAATTCTACACATATCCGGCTGGACTGGAGGATGTACACTGGCACAGATAGGAACTGGAAATACAGTGAACCCAGGACAGATGAACCCCTCAGGACCAGTGGTGAGAGTGGCGATATTGGGAGGGTGGAGAGAAAGTGAGGGCGAAAGGGGGAACAGATTACAAGGTCTACATATAACCTCCTCCCTGGGGGACGGATGGTGGAAAAGTGGGTGAGGGGAGACGTTGGATGGTATATGACAAAATAATAATAATTTATAAATTACCAAGGGTTCAGGGGGGAGGGGGGAACAGGGAGGGAGGGGAAAAATGAGGAGCTGATACCAAGGGCTCAAGTAGAAAGCAGGTGTTTTGAGAATGATGATGGCAACATATGTACAAATGTGCTGGACACAAATGATGTATGTACGGATTGTGAAAAGAGTTGTATGAGCCCATAATAAAATGATTTAAATTTTTAAAAAAGATATGTGCAGTGTGCATAGGAATTTGTTCATAGTTTTTTTTTAAACTATAGTCCGGCCCTCCAAGGGGTCTGAGGGACAATGAACTGGCCCCCTGTTTAAAAAGTTTGAAGACCCCTGGTCTAGACCTCTGGAACCAAGCCCCGCCCACTTTACCACTTTCAGGCCAGGTGTCAGGTGGTCAATTCATTTAACCCCAGGCCTGTTCCTTACTGCAAAATTGGAAGTGTGAGGAGCCAACATTTATAAACTCAACTGTTAAATGAAAGACTGGCAGTCTGTACTTACCGAGAGAGTTCACAGAAAAAGACCTACTAACCTATAAAGATTTGTCGAGAAAAGTCTATGGATGATTCTACTCTGTCACATAGTTACGATGTAACTTTGAGTTGGCATCATTTCGATGGCACCATAGGGCAAACACAGGGCCACTATTCGCCAGGTTCCTGGAGGGTGAGTGGTGAGGCCTCAGAAACCCTTTTGGGTTGCTATGCTTTGGAAATGACTCCACAGCAGTGGGTTTGGATTTTCTTTGAAATAATACGACTGCATGGTTCACATGTCTGGATTCTATTTCTCCAGTCATCAACAAATATTGAGTACTTACTGCACGCCAGCCATGCTGCTGGATGCTTGAGACAAGTGAATGAACAAAACTGAACCCTCCCCACCCGCTACCCACCCCCGTGTGGACAGCCAGCAAGAACTAGAGTACTGTAACCAGAAGCATCCTTGCAGACTCTT